CACTGGGAAACTAACACGCCATGGCAGCAGTTCCTCGAAGGAGCTCCTTCGTCCTGTCAAATATGCCCAGGAACAGGCCTCAATAATGCAGCCAGGAATGTAAGGAATAATGAAAGTCAATTGTCAGTCAGGCCATCGCTAGATTTTGTCCTGCGTCTTGAGTCCTTTCCTCCTGGCCAGAAGACGATGCTCTTATCGTTGCTACACTGTGAGCAAAACATTTTCAAATATGCTTAAAGCAACTCAGTTTTTTATATTTCGTCAGTAATATAACATCTCTTTCTCAAAAGTAAACTATCTATTTTGATAACATAAAAAAATGTTTGCATATCTCAAGTAATAATTTAATTAAAAAAATAATTCTTTCACAAGAGATCAATATAAAGATTTCGATGGCCACTACAACAATACAATTTTTGTTGTATTCTATAGGCAATTTTCTCAGTGCACCTTAGATGCCTTCGCCTGAAACCGTAATGACAATGTTGCTTTCATTTCGTGTTCCCGTTGCCTGCTAATTGAATTTAATGTAGTTTAATTGAGACGAACGTGATTGTAACTAAAAGCGCTTTATGCTTAATTTACCGGCAGGATGGCAAGTCCTGGGACCCAGTTAGCCCCCTCCACTTCGCCTCCCCGTCCGCAACGCCCCCTTACGAAGAGTGCGGATGCCCCTAAATAGTTCAAATTCAAATTAATTGCTCCTAGTTAAAGGCAATTCCCAGCGAGTTGTTGTTGGAGCGAGGTTGGGGTGGTGAAGGCATTTAAATATTTAACATTTTCCTGCCAGCTGTCGGCAGCTTTTCCGACAAGTTTATCCAGCGTAGCCGCATCGCCATGAATAATGCATAGTGGCGATTGTGTCACACGCTGCGTATGAGTAATGACTGGAACTGCTGGTCAAAGCGAAAATCCTAGGGAACAATCGATGCCCTCAAGGACGTTTACCAATATTAAAATCTTCTCAAGCGCAGCGCAGCGCGAAATTCAAATGCATCTGGCGCATCGCATTCGAAATCGGTGCAGAAGTAGAACAAAATTCAAAGGAGACTCCAAAATGAAGTCCGACAGATGCCAGAATTAGCGAGAAGTTCACTCATTTTTATTTTCTGTCCCATTTTCATCCACTGAAGCTGTCAAAAAGCAGCAGCACAGGATCGGGAAAAGGAGCAATGGTGCACAGAGAGAAAAATTCAATTACAAATCACCTTTCCTAAATTTCTCTACCGCATTTTAATTAAAAACGATATGAATTTTTCATGTGTTGTTTAACATGATGATTTGTATTAAATATATCTTGGTTTTTAAGAGCTTTTATTCAAAAATATTCCCTTAAGTAGGCTTTTGTTTTGTATTAGTTATTTTCCCAGTGCAAAAGCTGGAGCAGTAGAAACAGCTGTCATCTTAGAGAGAGAATGGCTAAAAACTGTCAAGCTGCATAATAAATTGAATTTCCTGTAGCTGGTCATTTGCCACCATGAAATTTGACCGGGGCAGGCAGAACAGAATGAAATGGGCGTGGCATAAACATGCACTTGAAACGAAAATACGGGTCTCCACTATCCGGATTTCAGACTATCCGGCCAACACGTACGGCCATTCGCTCGCTGCAACATGAAGTCACAGGCGCAAAATGCCACCAGAGGCAAATGAAATTACCGAGTTGCCAACCCGACGACGGTCGAAAGCTCAAAAATCCAAATATCATATTTACAACTTGCAACTACAAGGCCCTCGGGGAGTTTGCAGATGAAGCGGATTAGGAATGGCGACAGCGGCAGATGGAGAAAAACAGACTTGGAGTTAAGGATATTAAAGGATGCGACAATTGGCTAATGTCAAGCTGGTAACTGACATTTGAATTCCACTTCTTTTTCATTGCGCTCTATAAGCCAAGTAAACAGATAGTAAAGTTTGAAGTTTGGATAAGCAAATAGGTATAACATTTATACACACAATAATTTATACGATTTAGTGGGTATTTATTTTAACAAACGGTTATTGATGACTAACTGATAGAATATTGCTTAAATAATTTATTTAGCTTTAAAATGAAATACATTTCCACCAACTCCCCATTTTCGCACCTTTAATTCATTATCTGGGCAAGTTTAATTAGAAAACCCCTGCGGTATCTGTACAAAAAAAAGCCAACAAAATCAAGCACAGAATATAATGACGAAACTTTTAATGACTAATTAAGGGACATTTGCTCTGACTGCTTTTAACAAAATAACCCGCCAAACAGAACACACCAAAAATTGCCCGAAGCGACATTGGAACGCTTTAACGTCCCAAGTTGGCATTTTGTGAAACCTCCAAAACAAACAACTATAAAAAAGGGAAATGGCAAAGGACACAAACAGATATTACAATTGTCCATTTGGTAAGATATCTATTTATCAAATGAAAATGTAAATAACAGACATTGCTGTTCAACGAAGCAAACTCAATGACAGCCAGCTGTGGGCTGGGCTAAAAAACATTAAACCGCACAAACCAGCCGCTCAATAAATATTTAATTATCAAGGAAAAATAGAGTGAAAAATAGAAATCACAATTTGTCATTTTTGCCATCTAGCTGGCCCACGAAAATGATGCCTACGTTGACCAAAAAATAAAAAAGGTAATAAAGGAAAGGGGCAAATTGCACACGGTATACGCGTACTTATGCATGCTTTTATAACTAAATTTTCGTAAACCGTAACGTGCTATAATGCTGGAAATTGAAATTTTAATGCAATGAGTTGAGTATGTGGGGTAGGGGGGAGGGGGAGACGGGGGGCTTGTGCGGTTTAATGGGTGTTTCTGGATGGTGCGTGGTGGCCATGGCAATGGCATATCCGAAACTATTTGCGGCCATGCTCTGCGGTCAGATTGCGGCTAACCATGTTACGCCTGCTCCCGGTTGGCAGATGCCAGCGAATATATGTATATATTCATGGGGGGAGGGGGAGGGGTTAGACGGTTTCGGTGGGGCAACGCATAAGTTTGCGGTCGCATTGCCGCGCTCTCCTTTCGTTTCATTTTGCATAAGTTCTAAAGTACACATCATATATAATTAAAATCGTAAAACGGTCAATTTTCCCTCAACGCTGGAGGACGATGGCAAAGATCCCTGCCAGCCTTCCGACTCTACCGACTGCACACATCCCCATCCTTCGCCGCCATCTGTGTAATGGGTTTAGCATTTTTGGGCTTTCGTGTACAAATTGAAACTTTATGTTTGTTTGCCAACGAGCAGCGGGCCAAGCCGTGTGCTGTGAGGCGTTATATTAAATTAGTTTACTGGATTTTCGGTTACGGCCGGGCAAGGGGTTACATTTAAAATTTAAGCGCTTTACCATTGATGCAAATGGGCGAGTAAATACAAGGGGTCATAAAGAATTCAAAAGGCATTTCGATATTTGTTTACTTTGAAAAAATAAATATAAAATATAAAAATAAATAAGCTCTCATTTTATAGCTTATGGTTGATGAATAGCTGAATAGCTAAATCTCAGATTTGAAATTGAATTATTAGAAATAATAACAACTTTTTTATCTACAAATAAAATAATATTATATTTATAATTATTTTTTAAGCGAAGACGTGTCTGCCTTTCATGTTTTTGTTCTGCGCTCACAAAATGTAACCCTCGATTTAATTTAAATCTGTCATAAGCAAACTTTACAACAATTTTATTTTAATATAATTTATGTAGCATTGAACTTTGCCTACAAATAATATAATTTTAATTTAAATTTCTGACAAATTTGTTAGCAAATTCCTGCCTACCTACCTAAAGTTTCCATCAAACTGACAAACTTTTCCCCAAATAAATATGCTCGTCTGTGCGGCCTAACCACATTTGGTATAATTAAATTTTATGGCCATTAAATTTGGCAATTTTCATAAGAAATATGTGTATGGCCTCCGGCCATTTTAACCATAAACCATTGGCCAAGGAGAAAAAACCAAATCAAATATATTAGGCAGTGACTGATGTGAATTTATGCCTAGACCCGGTCTAATTTTTAGCCGCGCATTTACAATGTTCGCAGCCAGTTGGCCCCCTTTATTACCAACACTTGATAAAGGGCAAAAAAAACTGTAAGGCTGGATAAAAACATCCCGAAAGAAAAAACACACACTCACAATTCATTTTCAAAATGAATTTGTTCCGCTGTAACGGGCATAAATGCATTTAAATTTATTGAAAGGCAGAGTCTGCTACCACGAAACAACAAAAAAATTGGTAAAAGAGAACTCTCGCACATTGAATGACAATAAATTATCAATTTTATTTTGACAGCGCGTAAAATCCCGAAACGAAAAACGAAAGACGAGCGCGGCAAAATGTCAAACGAAATTGAGCGAAATATATGTAGATAGATGTGTTCGGCATATATGTACTATTTGTATGTAATATATGCATTCGAAAGAATTTGTGACAGGAAGTTTCAGTTCAATGGTTTGTTCCAGAGGGCGATTTCAAATTGCCTGGCCATATATATTCCCCAAAAAAGTATGCTAATTTGTAGATTGATACTCTCCAGTTCGAAAACAAATTAAGTAAAGGGTCAGAAGTGCATTTCTTATTCGAGAAAATATTTTATTGAATAAAAATTCAGTTTTATTGAATTTATTTGATATATGTTTTCGCATTTGAGATGTCAAAAGGATTTTGTTTTATTTTTAACAACTAAACTTTATTTATTAATTTATATATTATTCATTTTGTCTACTGAGTCTATTTTTACATAACTGTAAAATCAAAAAAAATTAAGTAAGCAAATTTATAATATTGTCCCATAGTTACATTTACTGGAATTAATAAAACATTATAACAAACGGAATAAAGATGTCTTCATATTCTTAAATAAAAAGAGAAAAATAAATAGTTAGAAAATTATGTAGTGAGAGACAATCTTATAAGCTTTTCAAATGCACTAATTAGGTTGTTGCAAAACGTAAAAACTGAAAAACTAAAGCTTCCTTCATTCGCATTTAATTGCAGACATTCCATCGCCGATGGCCCAGACAGAGGTGGCCTTTTACTGCCCGGGAGAGGGGCTGTTTGCGGACGACTACGATTGCCGGATTTATTACCGCTGTGAGCGGCGGTCGGGCCAATACATCCGACCCTACCTTCTGGCCTGTCCCGAGGATGCGGTCTTCTCGCGCGCGCTGCGAATGTGCCTGCCACCAGCGATGGCTGGGCGGGATGAGTGCGTGGACCAGGTGAACGAGGTGGATGGAGGCAGCATGGAGCAGTGGGAGCAGGACGACTTCGGGCAGGATGACCATAATGCGATGCTTAACCTGGCCGTCACACCTGCGGCCAACGAGCTGCGTACCTATGCGACCACCCATCGGCTGCCCACGAATTATGGCCTGACAGGGCTCAGCGGTGTCTCCGTGATATCCTTTTCCAGCTCATCATCCCTGCGAGAGCTGTTGGATCAGAGGAGGAGGATGGCGGTTCGGGAGTAATATGTCGGGATGATGGCTTCATGAATGATCCCAGCGACTGCACCGTGTTTTATCGCTGCATCTCGAATGGTCGAGGCTACAACAAAATCGGCTTCCGGTGTTCCGATGGCACTGCGTGGGACGAGTCCCTGCAGGCCTGCAACCACATGTTTGACGTACGTGCCAACGGTGGCTGCCGCAATCAGGCGGAGCCACAGAACGATGGTTATTATGCCGGGCAAACGTCAACACAATCGTCACAGTCCAGCTACCAGAACTCCACCTCAAGCAGCCAGCAGAGCTCGTCCACCAGTTCTTCAAACTCCTCCCAAAGCTCCAGTTCTACATCAAGTTCGACATCTAATTCTAGCTCGAGTCAGGAGTCCTCCACATCCAGTAGCAATCAGCAGTCGAGCTCTACCTCTGGCAACAATCAGGAGTCCAGCTCGGGATCTAGTAACAATCAGGAGTCCAGCTCGGGCTCTAGCAACAATCAGGAGTCTAGCTCGGGTTCCAGCAACAATCAAGAGTCCAGCTCGGGCTCTAGCAACAATCAGGAGTCCAGCTCGGGTTCCAGCAACAATCAAGAGTCCAGCTCGGGCTCCAGCAACAATCAGGAGTCGAGCTCGGACTCTAGTAACAATCAGGAGTCCAGCTCGGGTTCCAGCAACAATCAGGAAACCAGTACGAGCTCCAGCAGCAATCAAGGGTCAAGCTCCCAAAACTCTGGCAGCAATCAGTCCTCTAGCAGTAACCAAAACCAAAGCTCTGGCAGTAGTCAAAGCTCGGGAAATAACCAATCCTCAAACAATAATCAAAACTCCAGCAGCAACCAAAACCAAAGCTCTCAAAATTCCGGCAGCAACCAAAGCTCTAGCAGCAACCAAAATTCAGGAAGCAATCAAAGTTCTAGCAGCAACCAGTCCTCAAATAACAGTCAAAATTCCGCCAATAATCAGAGTACAGGCAGCAATCAATCTTCCAATTCCAACAGCAACCAATCTTCTAGCTCTAGCAGCAATCAGAGCTCTTCGAGCAATCAAACTGCCAGTGGATCCAATAAACCTGTTCCCACTGAATGCGAAGATGAAAACACTTATATCCCCGATAAAGAAGACTGTGCCAAGTTCTACAGATGCCGCCAAGATAAGGATGGAAAATTAGAACAAGTGCCTTTCACCTGTGGTCCCGGCACTGTATGGAACCAGGAAGATAAGGTCTGCGATCTTCCCAATGAAGATCAAAAGAAGAAATGCAACATTCAGTCGGGTTCATCTAGTGGTAGCAATAACTCTGGTAGCAGCGAAAGCTCCTCTAATCAAGGCTCATCCAGCAACCAATCCTCTGGTAATCAGGGTTCGTCCAGTAACCAAGGCTCCTCCAGCAATCAAGGCTCGTCTAGCAGTCAGGGTTCCTCCAGCAACCAAGGCTCCTCTAGCAGTCAAGGCTCGTCTAGCAACCAAGGCTCCTCCAGCAGTCAAGGCTCATCAAACAATCAAACATCAAGCAATCAAGGCTCATCCAGCAACCAATCATCCAATCAAGGCAGCAGTCAAGGCTCATCTAATAATCAGTCCTCCAATCAAGGCTCATCTTCATCGTCCACATCCAACAACCAAAGCTCCTCGAGTTCCAACAACAATTCATCTAGCAATAGTACGAGCACTCAATCGACAACTTCCAAACCGTCCAATCCCGATGGTCAATGCCAGGATACGGAAACTTATTTGGCAGATAAAAAAGACTGTGCCCGATTCTATCGTTGCGTAGAGAATGGTAATGGTGGCTTTAATACGGTTTCGTTTGATTGTTCTCCGGGAACGGTCTGGGATCCCGATACCAAGGGGTGCAACCATCCCACAGATGTCCAAAAGGAACAGTGCAAGGCAATGGCTAATGGCTCAAATCAAGGATCTGCTTCCAACCAAGGATCTTCCTCCAATCAGGGATCTTCCTCCAACCAGGGATCTTCTTCCAACCAGGGTTCCTCTTCAAACCAAGGATCTTCTTCCAACCAGGGATCATCCTCCAATCAGGGATCTTCCTCCAATCAGGGATCTTCTTCCAACCAAGGTTCCTCTTCCAACCAGGGTTCGTCTTCAAACCAGGGATCTTCTTCCAACCAGGGATCATCCTCCAATCAGGGATCTTCTTCCAACCAGGGTTCCTCTTCAAGCCAGGGATCTTCTTCGAACCAGGGATCCTCTTCCAACCAAGGATCTTCATCCAATCAGGGATCATCTTCCAATCAGGGTTCCTCCTCAAACCAAGGATCTACCTCCAACCAAGGATCTTCTTCCATCCAGGGTTCCTCATCCAACCAAGGATCTTCTTCCAACCAGGGGTCTTCGTCCAATCAGGGTTCTTCCTCCAACCAAGAATCTTCTTCCAACCAGTCCTCTTCTAATCAAACTTCGACATCTCAGCAGTCGTCGTCTTCTAACCAAACTTCATCCTCAAGTACAGAAGGATCATCATCATCTACCACTCAGAAACCCTTTAAGCCCGCTGAGAAATGTGAGAATGAGGAAACATTCCTCGCAGACAACGAGAATTGCTCCAAGTTCTATCGCTGCGTGGACAACGGTAAGGGTGGATTTAATAAAGTCTCGTTCACCTGCCCTCCCAATACTCTCTGGGATCCTGAGGCCAACAGCTGCAACCATCCCGATCAGATTCAGACCAAACCGCTTAAGTGCAAAAAAGTGGTTAATCAAGGCGAATCCTCATCTAGCAGCAGCAGCTCATCTTCGAATAGTTCATCAAACAACAGTGGTTCCTCTTCAAACAGTGGTTCATCTTCCAACAGTGGTTCATCCTCCAATACCGGATCATCTTCAAACAGTGGCTCCTCCTCAAATACTGGATCATCTTCCAACAATGGTTCATCCTCCAATACCGGATCATCTTCAAACAGTGGATCGTCTTCAAACAGTGGTTCATCTTCAAACAGTGGATCATCTTCCAACAGTGGCTCATCTAATCAAGGCTCCTCCTCCAACAGTGGCTCGTCTTCTGGTGCCAATTCATCCGGAAATGGGTCGAATTCATCGTCATCATCTTCATCTTCCTCAAGCAACAACAATAACCAAGGTTCATCCTCATCAACCTCTAGTTCATCCTCCTCCAGTAGCAGCAGCTCAACCACATCGAAACCAAATCCTTCTGAAACCTGCAAAGTCAATGGACAATTTATTGGCGATCGAAAGGAGTGTAATAAGTTCTATCGCTGCGTGGATAATGACAGAGGAGGCTTTAATATGGTATCCTTTAACTGCGGCCCTGGCACAGTTTGGGACGCCCAACTTCAGGCCTGTAACCATGCTTGGGCTGTAAAGGAGTGCGGTGGTGTTGCTCCTTCTCCTACCACCTCCAAACCAACAACCACCACCACCTCTAGGCCTTTAGGCCCATCTTCCACTTCCAGGCCTCCAGGCCCATCCTCCACTTCAAGGCCTTCAGGCCCATCATCCACATCCAGGCCATCCGGTTCATCTACTACATCCCGTCCGATAACCACCCGACCAACTACTTCCTCTCCATCGTCTTCATCTCCTTCGTATCCAACAACCTCACCCGCTACTCAGTCACCCAACACTAATGGAAAATGTACTTCAGAGGGCTTTATGGCGGATCCCAACAACTGCTCCAAGTTTTATCGCTGTGTAAGGAACAACAAAGGTGGCTTCACTCCAATTCCATTCCAATGTGGAGCTGGTACAGTTTGGGATCAGGATCTGCAGACTTGCAACCACAATTTCAACAACTGCAACACTGGCACTGAGGCAAGCACACCGAAACCTCCCTGTGAACCAACAGCCAATGGAACTTCCACCACACAGGAACCTATAACCACTACAACCCAAGACAGCAACCCAACTACTATACCCCCGACAACAACAGATTTGCCGCCCACCTCTACAACAGGAACACCACCCACTACTACTACGAAAAATCCACCCACTACAACCACAGGCTTACCACCTACCACTACTACGAAAAATCCACCTACTACAACCACAGGCTTACCACCCACCACCACCACACAAACACCACCCACAACGACCACAGAAATACCAATCAGTACTACAACTTCAGTGCCGCCCAGTACAACAACAATCAGTTCGGAATCTGAAACTACAACAATGACATCAAATTCGGAAACCACCACCCAAACGCCGCCTACAACACCCACGAATCAGCCGTCTACAACCACTATGAAACCCCTACCTGCTGGCACTGAATGCACCGGTGAGGGATACATGGCCGATCCCGAAGATTGTAGGAAATACTACCGATGCATCAAGGCAGGAGCTTCTTACAGAAAGTACAACTTTACCTGTCCCAAGGGCACAGGATGGAACGAAGATGTCCAGACCTGTGACTACATGGAGAACATTCCGAGGTGCTCGAAGTTGCCCACTGAACCACCGACCACAAACTATCCAGAGACTACAACACCAAATGAGGAGTCTAAAGAGCCCGGAAGTACCACCCCACGGCCATCAGATGAGCCGACAACGGTAACCAAACCCATCACAAAACCTACGGAAGAGCCTACAACAGATAAACCCCAAAAACCCACTACGACCGAATATCCTGGAAAACCAACCACCACAGAAGAGCCTACAACAGATAAACCCCAAAAACCCACTACGACCGAATATCCTGGAAAACCAACCACCACACAAGAACCTACAACCGAAAAACCACAGAAGCCCCCCACAACCGAATACCCCGGAAAACCTACCACGCAGGAAACCACCACCACAGGTATTCCCGGCTATATGCCAACAACAACTACTGTTGCGGTAGAAACTACAACAACTACTCCAGGCTATAAGCCTACTACAACCGCTGAGCCAGTAACCGAACCTATCACAACCACAGTACAACCTACTACTACAACAACTGTTGAAATTACAACGACAAATGTTCAACAACCCACTACCACAACTGAACCCCCATCAACAACCCCTGAAACGTCAGAGGGTCCAACAACCACACTTCAGCCTGAACCACAAACGAACTATAACTGCACCGCCGAGGGATTTTTCCCTGATCCCCAGGATTGCAGTCGCTATTATCGTTGTGTAGACGCCGCAAAGAATGGCAAGTACCAGGTTTATGGGTTTAAGTGCGGTAAGGGAACTGTTTGGGACACATCCACCGAAACTTGCAATTATGCCGATCAGGTGTCGGGCAATTGCTCTTCAGGTCAGACCACTTCATCGCCAGGAAATTCCACGGAACCCGGAACAACGGAAAGTACAACCAGTTCTGGAACCCCTGAGACTACCACTTCGAGGGTCCCCGAAACCACAACTGCAGGAGCTCCCGAAACAACTACCACTGCAAGCCCTGAAACCACTACCACAGGAGGCCCTGAAAACACTACTACACCAACTCCCGAAACCACTACCACTGGAGCCATTGAAACTACTAGCCCTGGAACAACTACTACCGGAACCCCTGATACTACTACCACATCGGTTAAGCCAGAGACCACAACCACAACGGGGGGAGAAACCACAACCACTCAGCCAACGACTGAGACCCCAACCACCCCAGAGAATCCTACTCCCGGCACCAATTCCACCGCCCCTTGTCCAACAACCGGTCCCGGACAGAATGTGTACGTCTGTCCCACCGGATTCCGTCAGCATCCGGAAAAGTGTGGCATGTTCTACCAGTGCAGCGAGAGTTCGGATAGCAACGATTTAAACATTGTGGTATTCCAATGTCCCAATGGAACTGTCTACCAGGACAACACCTGCAGTTGTGGCAAGCCCCAGACGGGAGATAAATGCTCCAAGGATATGAAGAGGACCACCAATTTGTTCGAACAGGAAACAAAACTCCAGAACGTGGTAAGTTTTAATGGTCCTGCAGCCTTATAAGCTAAGATTATTTTATACTACACTGATTATAATTTTTTTTATGAAGGGATGTTAGGTACATTTTATGGCATCACCTTTAAACTAATGAAATAATTTCTCTAACCTCAACGAGATCCTTACATAATTTAGATAAAAAACAAAATATTAAAATAAGTAAATCCAACCCAATAATATGATTGCGATCTTCTTTAATAGGTACAAATCAGCACGACGGCACCTCTCTGTCCGGATGAGGGTCACTTCGCGCTAAACGATGACCAGTGCGGCCAGCTGTTTGTCAAATGTGGATTCTCGGAGCTGACGGGACGCATCGAGGGTCAGATCCACCGCTGTCCTCAGGGATTCGCCTACTGGAACGTGAGCCGGCGATGCGAACCCGCCCGGAAGCTGCTCAACTGCACCCCAACCACCTACAATGTGGGCGGAAATGTGCCGCTGGAGTGGCTCAACATTGGCCATAGACGCCGCAGCATGCGCATTTAATTAGATTTAGTCTAGATTCGCTTAGTCGCCCGCCATTGTTTGTTTGCTGCGCCAGCACTTGATGACCAGTTTAACAAGCTGATCCTGATCAAGGGAATTAGCTGGCACAACAAACGATCGAACAGAAGAGTTAGCTTAGGACGTAGGGAAATTACAGTAGGTTAAGAAAGGCCTTAACCCTCCAACATCAAAATCCTTAAATGGGAATTAAAAAAAAAACATTAAGTTGCACTTTTAGGAAAACAATTCGTTAATTGGAAAGATCCAATTACATTTTTAAGCAACTATAAACTTTATATTTATATCAAGAACATTTCTCTGAAGAGAATAAACCCAAAACAACTTCAAAGATTGTTGTAAAAATTATTTTTCCAAAAGTATTGGTTGTTGGAGGGTTAAATAGATTCTTGGTGTCGGACTGCAAAACTGCACTTTACACATTCGAAAAGGAAACAAAAGGTTTTATGAGTAGTCTTCCTATAGTGGAAACAGGCACAGCCTTCACTACACACACGTAAATGTTGTAGCTTTCTTGCAGTAATTGTATTTATGTTTAGAGTTTAAACATACGTTCTGAACGCCATATACATATATATATCTTAGACTATGCTTAAAGTTTATAATAAATTGAAACATATACAGAAAACATCGACAAATGATGCAGTGGAACTTATTTTACTTTTGGGAATTACTTCTTGTTGCCGGCATGCAATTGTTAGGGTTTGTAGTTTTTTGCTAACTGTTTTATTTTGTTAGTTAGTAGTTTCTGGTTAATCCACTTAATATTTTCTTTAAAATTCCTATCTCAATTTCATGGAACATTTTGGAAAGTTTATTGGTTTGCCCCTTTTTAAGGGAGTGGCTTAATAAGTTGTGCCTTTTGATTTTTATGTTGTAAATGGGTTCCGGGATTTACTTTGTTGGTGGCTGCCTTTATCTCTTCATAAATAGTTGTTAAAATATGCTCCGTGTCCCTTAAGTTTTTGGTTCCATCTCTACTTGAGTGGGATCCTCTGACCTATCCACCTCTTTTCGGCCAGCGGATTCTTAATTAGTTGGTTACTTCATTCCTGTTCGGGAAAGTAAGGTTCCTCTGACTAATCTACTTCTTCTTCTTGGCCTGTGGCGGTGCTGCCGGATTGTCGCCCTTGTAGAACTCCTTAAGCAGGGCCATCGCCTCGTCCGCCCGCACGCCGCCGGTGATGTCGATCCTCTGTCCAACGACGGCTGCCACGTCCACCACCGTCTTGCCTCCGAAACGGTCGTTCTCGCAACCGAAGATGATCTCCTTGACCCCGAGAGTGTGCAGGGCGGCGGAGCACATGATGCAGGGCTCCACGGTGACCACCACGGTGATCTCGCTGAACAGCTGCTTTGCCGGCAGACGCTTCTCACGACAGCTGGCCAGGATCGCGTCTATGCAAATGAACTCCGCGTGGCGGGTGGCGTTCCGGTGGACGTTCACCTCGTTCCCGCCACGTGCGACTACCTTGTTCCCATGAACGAACACACAGCCCACGGGCACCTCGCCGGCGTCACGTGCCCGCCGTGCCTCCACTAACGCTTCCTCCATGAAGGCGGCCATTTGGCATGGAAATAAACTCGGGCGAACTGGATGAAAAGCCGCACCAGGTCAACAAAAACAAAAGGCGACTTCGGAATAGCTCTTTCTCTTGGCGCGTTTTTCAACACTGACTAACAGCTGGCAGTCACGGGGAACGGTCACTTCGTGAGCGGTCACGGTGTCGCCGCGAAATCATTCTTAACAGAACCTAAAATGTGGTGTATTCCCAATCTTCAAACATATGTAATCTAGAAACTAAAACATTTTTTCTTCTCATTTTTTGTTTAGTAAGCTTAAAATAATATGGAAATGCATAAACAGAACTTTATATATATGCATTTTTTGTATAATTCATTTTATTCAAATAAGTCAAATTTATTTTATAAATTTTACACAAAACGTTGATTGTTTTTTTTTACAATTTTTATTAATATTCCTATGACGAATTAGAAAATTTGTACTTCGTTTTTTTTAGCCAATAAGGACTAGAGTATTGCAGATTTTTATATAACTTTGTTAAGTGTTAATAAATGCAAGCCGGATGCATATTAAGCTTTAAGCGTCATTTCGCATCAAGTGGATTAGGTTGTTCTCCTCCAGAAAACTCTGAGCCTTTTCCGGCCAATTGTTATTTTTCGCAGATCGGGGACTTGGATGCGGCAGCCGGAGCAGAGAAACGGAATCAGATTTGCAGTAAGCTGAATGTTTTAATGAGGCATGAACATATTCTCCAACAGCTACAACCACTTTGGGATTAAGTAGAATCAATTGCTCCTCTAAGGTCTCCAAACAAAAATCCCGCAGCTGTTTTTTGTAAGGACCCTTCAGTTCACTGGGCGTTATGTTCTTGCCCGATTCGTCGAAAAATGCTAGAGGGCAGAAATTATGAACAAAGCATTTCTGGGAGAATATCTCCATGTTTCCTGCTAATTGCAAAAACAGTTCCCACAGACGAACACCACTTGGCTCCTCGATCCTGTGGTCCAAACCCAAGACAGGACGTTTGGGATGAAGGACAGGGGGTTGGTCTACCGGCCCTGATAATTGCATCAATACCTTTACAGTGCGCACATTGCCAAAGGGTATCTGTAAGATAATATATTATAATACCATTCGCAAGGACATAAATTAATGCATACTTACGCCAGTTTGACCCATTCCGTTTGGTCCCGGATTCATTCCAATAAAGACCAGCTTTTTGGGACTATCCAAATAACGACGCAAATAATCACAATGCAGCTGTGACGCATAGACTACCGGGTTGTAGATGCACTTAATATTCGAGGGAGGGGTCAATTTGCCTAGCGCCTCGTTTAACTTTTTTTCGGTGTTATAGAATTTTATCCGCAGGGGCTGGGCAAACAAATCGGATATACTTCCATCATTTGGAATTGACCTCTTGGTCTCCCCATCCTCCAGAGTATCTTTTTGCGCGTTCAATTTGCGTTTCAACATAACGCTTGATTTCGCACTCAAGTGCAATTTTAAACTAGCAAGAACTGGTAGGGGGATTCAATCAGCTGCTTGTAAAAGCTTAGTATGACCGTAAAACCAAGTATATCCTATCTTTAATAGCTTTAATTTTAGTAATATTTTTAACGGAAAACTTTTTACACCAACTTATTAAGGATTTATAAATAAATTAAATCACTGATGGCTATTTAGGTTGTTAGTTTAAATTCAATTTTCCCTAGTCAATTTTAAATCCCAACTTTAATTTGTGGATTATGGTATTTTCTATGGCATTAACATCCTTTTTATTAGCAAATCTTTATACATGACATGTTAAATATATATTAAGTTAGAATAAAAAAACAAACACTACTTATTATTGTGCATAAACTCATCTAGACGCTCCTCGTTTTCCCGAATAAAGCTCAGTTTAAAGGCTTTGCATGTTTTCTCTATGTTGCATTTGACGACGGTTCCAAGTATTTCGAGGAATTGTGAGACCTAGAGGGGACATCAAGGGTTATTGTTGGTATTGCGGGTTCGGAGACTATGCAAACTCACAGTTAAATCCTTTTCAGCACACGCTAGCTTAACGAACTCGCATTGAGGGGCATGTTTGTGGTGCTCCTTCCACGGGTCATCCTCGGATTCCCAACCATCGAGGGTTTTTCCGCACACAAAACAAGTGGCGGTGTCATTCTCGCGTTTGGTGCCCGTCCAATAGAATCCCGCCTCGGCCATCTGTAAAACGATATTTATGATCGACTCGAATAGTTGTTATAAATATTTAAGCCACTCTCTTACCTTTGAAATGCTGCAGGAAGCCGTCGCGGGAAAGGGCCAATCCTTGAAACTCTCGACGCGATGCTGTTCCAGGAGATTCAACTTCCGGAACACCTCCAGCTTTTCGCCACTCAAGCTCGCTGCAATATCGTTCACCGCCGGAGTCTCCATCTGCTTTTATTCCACAATTTCGAGGCGCAAATAACAAAAACTGTGAGTTTTCACAAACAGCGCGTCGTTGTTGCTGCGGCCTTTGAAAACAGGGTTGTCAGCACTGCGCAAAATATCTATACTTATCATATCGATCACGATTCAGGGACGGCGAAAACTATCGTTAAAGGTCACAGCTTTCGGTGATTCTTTAAATTTGAAATGTTTCGTATAAAAATACGTTCAAGAGATAAGCTAACAGTTTTAAAAATTTAAAAAATGCTGTCATAAATCTTTTTGAAAACAATTTTTAGGAACGTAACATGAGTCGAACCATTTTAAAGAAATTCTAATTTTTATAAAGATTTTGGCGGGAAACGTCGATGTCTTATCGATGTTTAAAATAATTGTTATCAAAACAAAAAATTAAGCAAGATGTGTAAAAAAGTTATATGATTAGAATTGTAGTTTTTGGAAACTTTTCTGCAAAGCTTTTTTTTTAATTTTTAAACAGTTTCCCGCCTTGACCCAAAAATACAAGCCAAATTTTCGATAAATATTATTTAATAATAATTTGTACTTTATGTAATTCGGCACGGTATCAAAACTTTTTTTACATTCCTATGATCAAAGTGCATTTTGTATTGAGTAAAAAGTAATTAATAACTAGAGTGAAAACTAACAAAGTAAGCGCAAGAAATGGAGTGGAAAATAACAGAATACGTTAGAACTGGAGTGAGATTTCCAATACTCGTTAGAGATGAAAGAAACATCGATTGCGCCCGGTCAAACATCGATATCACCGACATTTGGAACACATCGATTACGGCGATGTTTCTCCACCTCTAGTTAGAGCAGCTGTTTCAGTTATTGTCTCCCCCCCAGTTGTGTACACACTGTTTTGACGTTAAAGTTCTGCTGACTTTTTATTTATAAACAGAAAAACACGGAGAAACATGGTGTAAACCGTGAGCCAGCCACCCACACCAACACACGGCCACACACACACCCTGTCCTCGTTGTTGTTGTTCGATTTTTGCAATTGCAAATTGCGAAAATCGCCCAAGGAGCCCATAGATTATGCACCAAAGTTGCACGCTGCACAGACATAGAAATTGATTCGGAGAGAAGGAAAGCAACCAAGCAAGCAGAGATACAGAGAGAAAAAAAGAAAGTACTCGGACGGCCTTGGGCGAAAACGGGAGCAGCGAGAGACAACCCAATTAGGTAGCCCAGGCTGGTGGGTTCAGTAGGTCACTGCCGCACCGTTTTTGCAAGGGGCAGTGGCCCAAGGACATCCGGGAGGAGGAGGCCCACACCCACAATCCCCAACACACGGCCCACACCCACTGCACAGGATATAGAGACAGCCATCCGTTTGGCAATGAGACGGTGCGCTGGCAATGCGCTCACTTGAAGGCAGTCGTCGTCAGGTCGAGCAGCTGGAGCTGGAAGCCAAGGACCAGGATCAGGATCAGGATAGAAATACCCGCGAAGGGCAGGCGCTGGAGCAGGCTAACGCACGGCCATCGATGGCCAACGAACGCAAGCAGAGCAGTCCCAAAGTGGAGCTAACCAAGCTCAGCCACGAGCTGATCGAGGAGTGTAAGCGCAGTCTGGAGGATTCGCTGCTGTCGCGCCACCTGCGCCACGAGCTGGAAAAGTATGACCTTTAAATATAACCTAATAATAGCCAATTCTGTGGAGAACAAAGCCTATGTGCATTTAAAATCGTGATTACTAGAAATGACTTTGCTTAACGATTTTTTATGTTCATATTTAACAAGGAATATATACGATATGGTCGTCCGATTTCCAAGCTTTATCTACCTACAAAAAATTTCGTGAAAAATATTTGTTTAGCTGTTAAAGAGCAACCAAAACATACAATTAAATCAAGAATGAATCGAATTCAAGTGACATTAAGAACTAGGAATTATTAATATTGCTATGTATGTCTTTTTTTTTTTAATTACCAGAAACAAATTTTGATTACTTAAATTTAAGGAAACAACAACAGGTAGTCGTTTTATTAGTCGTATTTTTAATATATTTTGTGCAGTGTTTTAATAGCTTTTAATAAACCATACAAACGGGCAGACAAATGGAACATGTCTTAATCGTATCGCCTGACTATGTCGATTAATAATGTATACAATTTATAGGGATGCCACCTGCACATACGTCATCAATGGAACACAAATTATACCTTGCTTTGCTTACCTTGACTTTATAATTTAAATTTCATAATTCTAGTGTCTCTAAATACATTCTCTTGTAAAAATAACCCTTTCTAATAAGCAAATATAGCAAGAATTCGGTTTATACTAATAATTTTTAAACCATTTTATTAAATATTCCCCAAATATTTCCCTTAGAACTGATTTATCCGAATAACGTTAACAATTCAAGACAAATACAATTTGAATACATTTTTGGTCGACTAATCAGCAATCAAAAATCCCTAGTCGTTGGTGTGAATGCTCAGCTGAGGGTGCTCAATGATTGGACGTCGTTGAACGCTTCATCTTATCAACAAATGTTTTGTAAAATCATTACCCCTGCACGTGCTGATCAATAGCTATTTCCGATTCTCTACCCTTACCCTTGCATGAAAAAAAATTCTTGATTTTAAAAATTACATTTTAATATCAATATACAAACAATTATTTTATTTCTAGACTGCCCCGCGATTCCCGTCGCGAGTTGGTGCGGAAGCAGCGCAATGGCTGCGCACCTCTCTTCACTGCCTGCAAACGGGGCGCCGTGGTTATCGCCGAGTATCTGATCACTATCTGCGAGGCGGATATTGAGCAACGGGGACACTTCGAGGTGCCGGAGGATAATAGCTTTCACTATGTGTCGCCCCTTTGGGCGGCCGTCGTCTCTGGAAAACTGTCCATGGTCAAGTATTTGGTACGGATCGGGTGCGACATAAATGCCACCTCCGATTCGGGATCGACGCCCGTAAGGAGTGCCTGCTACATGACCCACGTTGATATCGGTGAGAAGTTAAAGATATACCATTGATTTAAATGGAAAAAACAAAAAGTATTTAAGGGTTGTTAGTTATTGATTCATGTTAAATATTGCCTGACTTCTAGACCGTAAATTGGTATTTCAAACCGTTAATTTACCTGCATTAAAGCCATTGCCACACACACACTCAATTTCAAAATACTGCCTCCCACAAAGAAATGTTATTAAGCAGGTTTTCCAATCACACAATTAAAACTTTTAACCCCTTACAAAACTTAAATGTAGTTAGTTTTGCAATACTTTTAAACCATTTATAAGTGTTCTTTGTTGAAATATTACACGGTTCTGACAATTTTTAAATTGGGAAATTCTACTATTGGATGAGTACAATGCGAATGCAAATTATAATACGGCTTGGCACATGTGAATTAGCATAATATAAACGATTTGTTTAAGGTTTTCTACAAATCAGGTCAGTGAAAGCTGCTTGGTCATAGCGGAGCATCGTTTAGATTTCACAAAATCCCCATAATATTCCTCAACCAATTTGGTTTCTGTATAGATACAAAAGAATATAATTTTTCTACATAATAGTTTTTGAATACAGACAAAAGCAATACAAAATTAAACTATTTTTACAAGTTCTAAATCATTCTGCCTTACAGTCAAGTTCCTGGTGGAGAACGGAGCGGATATTAAGCGCCCAAACATCAACGGTGGCACTTGTCTTATCAACTCGGTGCAGTCGGTGCAATTGTGCTTGTATCTTGTGCGGAAGGGGGCGGACATTAATGCCAGGGACATTCAGGATAAAACGGCGCTCCATTATGCAATCCAAGAGCACCGGCTGGACACCACAAAGATGTTAATCGAACAAGGTGCCGATCCGTATGCCAAGAGTCGGTACGGAGACGATGCCCTTCGCACTGCCTGCTTAAAGGGAGCTCATCAGATCTTCGACTACCTGAAGAAGGAACTGAATTATTTGCCTGCAAGGTTGGCGGAGGCCCACGAACTGATGGGATCGACGTTCCTGGACGAGCATAACGAGTCGCGGGTGTGTATCCTGCACTGGCGCATGGCGCATCACATCCGGGCAGCGTATTCGACGTATATTGAGAAAAAGCCGCAGGTACCTCTACGCACTGCCTACGAAAACGCAGTGGAGTTTAGTACGCTGGAGGAACTGGACAATATTGCCACCGATATGGATGCGATGCGGACACAGAGCCTGCTTATTTGCGAGCGGGTTCTGGGTCTGACCCATAAGGATATGCTATTTCGGTTAACTTTTAGGTAAGTTTTTGGATTGCTTTGCTGTTGAATATAATTTTGCGTTATATAATACCTATTTTTTAGGGGCGCTTCATATGCGGATTCGCTTCAGCTTCAGCGATGTATTGATCTGTGGAGATTCCTGCTCGAGGTGCGAGTATCCAATTGGTCCATCCTGCACTTTGAGACTTGTTTCGCGGCGCAGGCGCTGGTGCGTCTGATGCTGGACTTGCATGTCCAAAACTCGAGCCACATTAGAAGCGATGCGAGAGCCAGGTTTGTGCACCAAGATAATGTTCTGCCCAGATTCGAGGATGTGCTCGGAGTGTTTCGGACACTGGCGGAAAGCGCCATTGTGGTGAAGCATCTGCTCCTCTTGAGGCCTGTGTTCAGGAGGCAGCAGGAGAACTACGATCGTGTGATGAGATGTCTGGCCCACCTCATCTATCTGCTGATCAATACCGTCCACACAGAGGCGCAGAACAAGCTCATCTGCCAAACAGTCCACGAGACGGTGGTGGTGGGCAACCTTCGCAGCGCCAGCACCGCCGACACAATGCTTCACCTCTGCGCCTCGCGTCTGAACGTCATCAAAAGCGGCTACATCACTGACGACAACTTTGCCGATGTGAGTAGCATACATTTTCAATTGATTTTTTTTAAAGACCTTTTCTTAGAAGACTGTGTTCCCCAACGCCGATGTTATTAAGCTGCTTATCCAGTGCGGCGTCGATGTGAACATTAAGAACGAAGCCAAATCCACGCCCCTGCATGTGGCCTGCCAGCCGTATAACTATGACAATGAGGTAACTCAGCCATTAGTCACGACTGCAAATCTAATAACCCATTAAATAATTTTTGTATATACTCCTTCAAAAATGTATAAGACATTTAAAACCTCCGTTCTGGGAGATATTACTTTGCTTACCAAAATTTGGTTTAAAAGTCAAAGGATCAAAAAAACAAGTCTTTGTTTAATAAAAAAAAATCATAATAATCATAAAATCATAAAAAGTTTATAAACCTTAAAACGCGTTTTCCCGTCTTTATGATAAGATAAAAGTAATTTTGTTTTAAACTTAACAATTGTTTCATTTTCTCATTAAAAAACTGTTTGGCTTTTATAAATACAATAAAATATATAATTTTTGTTAAATAAATAAAAGCTCTTGATATAAGAAATTAAAAATAAGTCTTATACGAAAATTTCTTTCCGCAGATTGTTCATCTGTTGCTCAAGTGCGGAGCGGACATCGATCAGCCGAATCGCGCCGACAAGCGGCCCTACGATTTAATAGCCTCAAATCCCACCAGCACCATTCCGCTGCTCAACTTTGTGTCGCTGCAGTGCTTGGCGGCGACGGCGATCAGCAAACACCGGATACCCTACCACAATCAGCTGCACAGGCAGCTGGAGAAGTTCGTCCGGAGTCACGAACCCTGAGGAGGTAGCTTAACCGGAAACAGAAGCTGAACCGGAGCCGTGAAGCGTGCTTAATGTCTATGTCTTATGTCAAAATTAAAGGCTTTTCAACCCATGTTGATTTCCCCCTTTTCGGAAGTTTCAAAATTTAACCAGTGTCGGTAACTTTGTCTCGCTCTATATATTAAATACATATTTACAGATATCTATATCTATTGTTAAATCGGCTTAACGTAGTTTAAAACCGCAATCGAGATCAGAAGAAATAGAAGCAGAATCAGAACAAACATTGTAACAGAACAAGCAAAAAGTGTAAACGATGAACGTGATATTAAAAACTATATATATATTGAGAGTGTATCGAAAACATTAATATTTTAGAGAACTTACAAAGCGAAAGGCGGATCTTTGTACTTAACAAATTGTGCTCTGATGTTTGATTATTAGATCCTAAAGAGAGGAACTCACTGTAACGCCAATAAAGTTTACACATTATCTACATACATACAATTACGCCTGAAACATATACTAAATATATACTATATATATATATATACATACAACTAGAATAACTAATTGAACACTTGTTGAACCACTAAAATCGAACTCAATAACTGAATGTGAATTGCAATTTGTGAGAGGGCCAAAGTCACTCAATTTGTTCGACAGCATTTGTCCCTTAACTTCTTATGATTACCACGCTTTTTAGACCTATGTACTAAGTGTATGTGTGCGAGCCAAAATATTGTCTTGGCCCGCACCAAGTATTTTAACAACCATTTCTGTGAGACCGATGGATTGAGTTCGTTTAGCACACGTGTTGCATAAGCCAGATCGAATAATTATCTACTGAATTTTGAGTAAAACGCAAATCTAATCAATAAATTGAATAGTTTACAGTTTACGTTTACTGTCAATAAAATGGCTAAAAGTGTTTTATTGGGAAGATTCAAAACTATTTTATTTTTGTCAATAAGAATGGTTATTTCCTTCCTCTTTTATGGCGCACAATTTTTAGTTTATTCTTATTTTAAATTTAATTTGTGTGGAAAAAGAGAATTGAAAATAAAAAAAATATCTAGCTAAATTATTTTATTCAAACAAAATTTAAAACTATTAGATCAATTTATTTGATATGTTTGTGTGATCTCCTCTAAGTTCACAAAAAAAAAAACCCCTTAAGTTGTTTTGAATATCGATCCTCAATCATTTGTCAATATTTCTGCCGTAGCGCATGTAAAACTGTCAGCTTAAGCACAAAAAAGCAAAACGCCCATTCGTTCCACATAGTTATTATAAAAAATCTTGGTTTTGTCTTTGGTTTCGTTGGCATCCCGAAATAGTTGTGAACTCGAGTTGTTCCATAATTAATTATGAGGCATTTTTAGGGCAATAATTAAAAATGCATTTATTATAAGCTGGTGGTAGGCCTCGCAGGGGCATTTATCGCCCAATCAATTCGATGTGACGGATTTCGGATGCGGATTTCCAGACGGACGGAGTTTTGGGTCGGATGCATTTGCTAATGCTATGCATAGAAATGGACAAAGGCAGCCAATGTCAAAACCTCTTCTCCCATGGTGTGAATTAATAAATTAAAATAAAATAGTTTTGTTACGCAAATCATAATTTGTGTCCCGTCAACATTCACTTTTATGCTTTGGCTAATCTGTGCACCGAGTGTTTTGCATTCAATGGATTTTAGCAACTTATTCGCTTTGCATAAAATATGCAAAGTGCGGCAATAGTAGGCACCTATTAATCACAGGTCGGATTCCGTATCCATTTAAATTTTTGTATTTAATTTTGTTTGCTACTTTCGTCCTAATGCATTTGGGTCTATTAATTAATGACAATGTAATTTTGGTTTCCCATTACAAACTAAAATTTATCGTATTTTCTTTGACAGATCTTTGCATTTTTAATGCGCCCACATAAACAAAGTTTTGGTTTCATTTCACTGTTCATGGTTCACGAAATTGGCGTGAGAAAGTAGGAAACCTGTTTTTGGTTTCGACCAGATAACAGCCGTTAGAAATGTGGGCTAACTTATCATCTGTTGCCCAGTTCGCCCTTGGCTGGTTTCTTATGATTTGTAGGCAGAATTCCCCCAGCTAATGAGATGCACACTGTTGAATGCACACGATATCGTAATACATCTTAAGTGGGTGAGTGCATAATTGAAAATTGGAAAGGAAACAGGGAGTCTTCCTCTCTCCGTTTTTTTATTACAGCATACATTCACCCAACAATAATAGGTCTGCCAATTAGCCCTATAAGGCCCTATATCTAAACTCATTTTGAATGCATCGGTTTTGTGTTTGTTATGACAACTAATTTCCGCTGGAAGCTGGGCATAGCCAATTGACAAGATATACTTTTGATTTTATCGGATGATTTACCTTCACTTCTTCAGTTCGAAAACCGATACCGATTCCAAGTCCGAATAAACGAGTATTTTGTCTCAATTTGGCACATTTAGAGCTGACAATATATCGCCCAATATTTACGCCCCTTGGAATGGATACAAAGACCTAGACCTTGGGCCAGACCAAGACAGATGCGAAATACACTAGTCCCCGAATAAACAATTTTCAATTTCCATTTGATAGCTGAAGTTTTAAACAATAAAAACAAACTAGAGACAATGGACCCAGAGACAAAAGTGCATTTTAAGTCGGGCTTGTAACCTTGTCGCCTATATTCGTCATCAATATTTACATATCAGTCTGTGCCATTCAACTGGTCTGCAAAAATTGCCAAGAAAAACAATACTTTTGTATTAATTTAAACGAGGCTTTGATTGTTTACTTGCCAAAGCAAAGTTTCTTAAACATCTTAATAGTATTAAAATTGGCAGTAAAAAAAAATTATTATCTTGATTATTTTTTTGATCATGTTGAATACTGAAATGCAACTACACAATATGTCTGACGTTGATGAAAATATGAAGTGTAACTAAAATAAATTCTTTTGCAGTAACATATTAATTTACGAATTTTAAAACCTTAATATGAAAATTAAATTAAAGTCACCCGGTGGATTTCCCATACAAATCAATATTATATATTATCATCATATTGCAGAAGTGATTGTTTTGAACTTAACATTTGCTATACTTAAAGTAACACTTAACCAGTCTACAAATTTAAACAAATATAATCAAATATAATATTTTTATGTGGTGAATGTTCGAAGTAATGTGATTACAACTTAACTAACTTGCTAACAACGATGGCAGAATTACTCCCGTATGTGTATCACCCATTGTTAAGATTTCCTCTCGCTCGACTTTTGTGGAACCCCTTGTAAAGTAAATACAAAAGCCCACTTGCCACCCAACCAGATGGATCCAAACAACCTCTTCGCCATGTATAACAAATGTTTTATGACCCCTTCGACTGTTGCAACTGTGTTGGCTGCTGTTTCACGATTTGTTTCCGATTATAAACAAGTTGTGACCGCGGTTTGGTATAAAAAGCACGGTGCCCGGTTGACCCATCATCACAGCACCACAAAACTCGGACAGCAAGGGAGCATCCGGTTGAAGACAGCTAACCAGCAGAGAGACACCCACCCAAGCGACAGCATGAAGATATTTGTGGTGCGTTTGAATTGGATTTGGATGTGGATTACCCCAAATGGATAACAGAGGATTATAATAAACACTTCTTTTTCCAGACGGTTCTCGTGGGGGCCATGTGCCTGAGCCTCAGCCAGGCGGACATCAGTTTGACCCAGCCGGGCTACAACTACCGCATCCAGCAGCAACAGCAGCCCACGGTGGTTGCCCACCTGCTGAACCAGCAGCTCCAGCAACAGCAGCAGCAGCTCCAGACTCAGCAATCCCCGCACCCGGTGCTGCCTCCTCTACCACTTCCCTATCTGCCACCTGCTGGTCACTTCCATTCCCAGCCCAACTCCGCTCGTCCCACCTCCGGATCGTTTCCCATGCCCACCGGATTCCCCGTCAACTTCCAGACTGCTCCCATCCAGCAGCAGCGACGTGCACGTCCACGGGTGAGGATTCCAAAGCGGCCCATCGTGACCAAGAACTTCTTCATCCACTCGGCGCCCGAGGAGTCCGAGGATGAGGTGCAGGACGAGCTGAATCAGCTGGCCCAGCAGCCGCGTAACCATTACAACGTGCTGTTCGTCAAGACTCCGGCGCAGACGAACCGGGCAGCGGCCCTCAATCTGGCCAAGACCCTCAAGCAGGAGAAGACCGTAGTCTATGTGCTGGCCAAGAAGACGACCGCCTCCGATCTGCAGGATGCCATTGCCGAGACGCCGCAGCACATCAACAAGCCGGAGGTGTTCTTCATCAAGTACCGCACTCCCGAGGAGGCCCTGAATGCCCAGCGGCAGATTCAGTCGCAGTACGACACCCTGGGAGGCAGTTCCACCATCACCGACGAGGGTGTGGCCCCCATCACATCGGTGGTTGGGTCCCTGGATCCCCCAGAGGAGGAAGAGGAGGAGCAGCAACAACAGCAGCTGCAGCAACAGCCCGAGGGACACTTTGTGGAGAACGGAGCTGGAAATGGCAACGGAGGTCCCATCGCCAATCACTATCTGCCCGCGAACCAGTTCTAAGTATTCTTCATTGCTCGCCACATCAGATCTAGTTAGCTGTCATCACAACCCCATAGTTTTAAGTGAATGCCAATTGTTACCTAACTCCGTATTAAAATACAGTTGTTAAAGAAATAGTTAAATGCTTTTTGGAAAATAGTTATTTGAAGGGTGACTACCTCTAAAGTGCAAAATGGTCCACAGTTTATTTTGTTAATATCTACTTATCTCTATTTGATTTAAATATCAGGATAGAAGTTAAAAAAAGTAGTATGATATTATCAGGATCTTGTAAAGGAGGTAAAAGGTAAGTTTAATGTGATATAAATGAAATCCAGTAATATCCAAATAATTATCCTAGCCGAAATATATTAATTTATAACATTTTCACAATTTGCAATTGGGCTCAGGCGGTTTCTCTGGCGGTCCTGAGCATTCCAGAACAAGTTTCATTTCGATGAAGGCCTTCTCCAGCATCTTGGCGAACTTCCAGGGATCTGTTACCGCACAGTGGCGCCAAGCTGATATGGCCACTATGATGTCACATTCCCGTGGATTGTAGCAGCAGGCATATCCATCGTCTGTAGCCGGTCCGTAACCCATGAAAGCATCATTTTTGGTGGCTACCTGTGAGGTCGACATGCGAAAGTGACTCGACTTCACATAGCCTGGGGATGAGAAAAACTCTGGAATGGGCAGGCAGTTTTCCACAGCCATTAACTTCAGTCCAAACAGGTGACGATCGACACCTCTGCCTTGAAGAGCCAGCTTGGCATACATCTGATGGTAGATTACCGCCTCTCGCAGTTTTTCGGCCCGCTCCGCCTCTGGCGTTCCAAAGTCCTGCATGGCGAGGCAAAAGGCCAAGGATTGATTGGAACAGGACCTTATAGTCTCCGTTCGACCGCCATCAAAAATGCGCAAATGAGCCGACTCATATTGCGCAGCTGGCTCAGAATGCATTTTAAAGAAGGCCAGCTGTAAAGCCATCTGAATATAACTGTCTGGTCCCAGTTTCTGTTTCTTAATAAAATCCTTTCCATAACCGTCGAACCTGAAGACCTTCATTTGAAGTGAATGGACAAGTTTATCTATGTTTTTTTGAGCGATAATCAGCCACTGCTCCACGCATTTACTGGGCGGACAAAACTGTATTTTCTTTGCGGGAGTAACGTCCTCTGATCCGCATTCCCCGAAATTACAATCTTCTTTCATCTTTTTCACCACATAGTCCATCATCATTGCGATGGGTTGTCCCTCAGCTGGAGAGTGTTCATAGGTGAATCCAACGTTTCCATTTGGATTGACCACCAACTGAATCGTCTTATCCATCCAGCGATTGGCACTGTTGAATTTACTGCCTTTTCCGTGGATCAGTGAGAGAATAAGTTCCTCGTCATCCTGACCTTCTTTTGGAGTGGTACACTCGTCGAGTGAGACTGCGAACAGAGCACATTGGATTTTGTTAATGGCTTTCTCGTTACGAGGAGTATTCGACAGGTGTTCATAGGCCTCGGCCCAGTTGTCTCTCGAGTCGGTGGTCAAAATACCATAGGGAACTCCAAATTTGGTCTCCTTCTTCATGATCTCTTCCAGTTGACCAGCCAGACATGGAGCTATAATGAGTTTTCCCTCCTTATCATATATTTGCAGTTGATAAAAATGGTTCTTGTAAATCACAACCACATAATCGGAGCATGGATTGTAGGCGATCTCGTCGGTAACCCTTCTTGGTATCCGACTTGTGCCGAATACCTTGCCAAACTGACTATTGTCCAACTCGTTCTTGCCCATTTTAACAATTGGAATTTTGTTGGCATGCACCATGTCATTGAACTCACCCAAACCAAAGATAACTCTGGCCGTGTAGTCGATAAAATCGTGTGGATTTTCAAAGCTTTGTTTGGGGAATGTCATGCCTGGACTGACGAAGACAGTGACTGGTTGACGAAATTGTAAGTAGGCGACTTTAAGCCATCGAGGGGCCAACCAATTCTTCTCCTTACTGCCGGCTTCTTCCAAGAGCTTCTGCAGATCAGGTCCTTCCTTTTTCATGAAGCTAGCAGTGATTTTCTTCTGCTGTTTGAGCTCCTTTTCTGTTAAAAGTGGTTCAACAGTGGTCATAAAGCGTTTTATCGTCTCTTCGAGCGGCAAAACATGATAGGGCAGGAGATTTGGCTGCTTCGAGTTCGAATTTTCCCTGGTGAAGCTTTGGCTGGAGGTTATCAGTATTTTGACCAGCACATTTCGATTCTGCTGCGTAAGCGAACACCTGGTCCAATTCCATAAAAACTTTCCACTACTTCGGAACTTCATCTTGGCGACTTTCGAGGATTCCCTTAAGCGATGCAATACCAAACAAGTTACCCCTCTTTCAGCGGTTCCAATTTATAAAAGTAAAATTTAAGAAATTTAAAAAAAAATCAACATTGTTACAGTAAATTTCGGTTAATAAAATTTTAAGTATAATCTAAGCAGCAGTGACATGTGTTGCTTCGTATATTACAATTTTTTGATTAATTGAAAAAAGGTATATATATGAATTCCGGATGCGAGACGTAAAAATATTAGTAACAAAAGGTTAGATTGATTTACAAAAGTTAGTTAATGAATCTTAAAAATTGTACCCATTGAGAAATTATTATATATTGAGATTATATTATCAGTGCAAGGCAATAATCTTATACAGTAACCATCTCCTCCTGATTATCCTCGGAGCTGTCCTTTTTAGAGAGACTTAGGTGAGTGCGTATAAAGTCATGATAGTAAGCGATTGAAGCATGGGCGTCTGAAAAGCGGTATAAATAATTGTTAATACATAATTAACTACTACTACTGGATAACTACTCTCACCAGGATATCCTTTGGCACAGGGCAGTCCCCAATTGACCAGAGCCACTAGCTTGCCATTGTGCACCAGAGGACCACCGGAATCGCCGTGGCAAGCTCCACGTCCCTTGTCATTGAAGGTGCAAACGTGGCCAATATCCACCCGAGTGCTATTATCGTGAGCCGCTCGACACTGCTCGAAGGGAACGTAGTTCACCTCCAGACTTTGGAGTCGGGTGGGAACATCTCCGCCGAGGGAAAGGGTTCCCCAGCCGGTTAACAGAAGTCGGGATCCAGGAACTAAAGCCTCATGATCCAGTTCCACCGGTTGGGTGGCATTATCAAATACAATCGACTCGTTCAGATGCAGCAAAGCTATATCATTGCGATACTTGCGAGGCGCATAGTTGCTATGCTCCACGATACTATCGGGATAATAGTATTTCGAGCTATTCTGCTGCAGATCCTGGGTACCCGTAAGGACTCGAAAGGCCCCCGCATGTCTGCCTCTTGTACAGTGAGCCGCCGTTATAATCCACCGCTCATCGATAATCGCACCACCGCAGGAATGTGCTCCACTTGACAATCCTTGCAGGGAAATCTGGTAAGGTGCCACGCCCTCGGCTGCCTCCTCGCCGCCCACAATGCGATTTTTGGTAAACTGCGGAGGATACAGAATCTGACTGGAGGCACAAGAACTATATAGGATTAGCGGAAGTAGGATCAGCAACATGATGGCAACTTGACTGTTGTACAACTGAACTTTTTCACCTTCTGGGAAAGTTTCTTATAGGTAAATTAGGCCTTACAATTAACAACCCAGTCACGCTTCCCTCTCTATATCATATCTGGTTGAAAAAGTCCAGCTGGGTTTGTGAAGAACCCTCAAAAAGTAAACAGACACTTACGAAACCACACGGTTAACCGCTGATAGGTAAAGTCTTTTAGCAATCAAAAACACATTTAAATAACAAAGAATTAAAATAGGTTGATAAGAGTAGTTTTAAAATACGTGAAGGGAATTAAAATAAGTGGATCAGAGAGGTTCTCAAATAAAAAATATATGTCCACAAACATTTTTCATGTAATGAATCTTAATATTGGGTAATGTATGGTTATTGTTTTAACCAATCATAATAGTGCTTCTTATCTTAATATTGAGTAATCAATACTTTTTGATATCCCACTTCTTTCAAACTGGCGCTTGTTTATTTGTTGACTCATTTCTGCGAACTAAATATCATGACTATTGGAATTATCTTGCCAACTTTAAGTGGGGATTTTTTCAAGATTCTTAAAGATTACAGTTCTCTTTGAAGTCCTCTTAAAGTAAAAGAAAGACATAACAGCAAGTTAAGTTAAAAGTGAAGCGCAATTGCTCATTTATTTGTTCATAAATAATTTATGGGCTATGATATGAGTGATAAAATTTAGGGGCTAATTTGATCATTTCGCAAGTGTCATAAAATGGCAGTTGCTATTTTTGTTCGCTTTTGGCATTTGCACCCCTCGGGTGACTTTTAGACCGTTAACAGGCGGTTCCCGCATCGGTCATCATCTGCTCGATCCAGTCGTGGTAGTAGGCCACCGAACCGAAGACATCCGGATAGCCAATGGCACAGGCTTCGCCCCAGTTGACCACGCCGACAAGGGTTTGGTTGGCATCCACCAAAGGACCACCGGAATCGCCGTGACAGGATCCCTCGCCCTCCTGGGTGAAAGTGCACACATGTCCTTCGCCCAACCAGTTGGCATTTCGCACACTTTTCTCACAATTGTCGTGCTCGATGTAGTTCAGTTCGATCTTCTGCAGCTGCGTGGAATACCTTCCCCAGGTCTTGGTGCTGCCCCATCCAGTCAGAGTCAGCTTATCCCCCACCTTGGGCAGACTACCCTTCTTGGCCAGTTGAATGGGTTGAGTCAGTGCGTCGTAAACTATCGGCTTGGCCGTGTGGATCAATGCAATATCATTGTGATAAGCCGGCTTGTCATGGCCGCAGTGGATCTTAGATCCATCTACCAGATACTCTGCTCCGGGTTTCGTGTAGTCCCGGGTGCCGGTGACAATCTTCAGATACTGGGTGGGCCACTCCAGGCAATGGGCGGCAGTGAGGATCCACTCTGGAGCAATGATACTGCCACCGCAAACGTGCTCACCAAATGTGTTCATGATGGACACCTGGTATGGAGCAAATCCAGTGGGGGAGTCGGTGCCTCCGACCACTCGGGTCTCGGGCTTAACTTGGCCCAAGTGGTGATTTAACTGTGGACGACGCTGGATTTTAATGTTTTTCGCCGAACACTGCGACAGGATCACCAAAACACTAATCAGTACTAGCCACTTCATGTTGGTATAGGTATCCTTTTTTTTTAAATTAAATTAAAAAATATTTTTTTCAGTGTTGCGTTGTCTTCAACTTCCATAAATGGTTTGTCCATTTTTCGGCACTGGTTTCGCTTTTATAGTCCCGTGGTGTGTGAAATTTCTCCTTATCATGCCCAGAGTTTCTTTTGAATATGTTTGTCGATAAGCGGCTCAGTTCGGGGAAGCTTTGATAATGACATTACCATAGCCAATATATAGTACCTGATAGGGGGGAATTCTACAGTCATTTGGCCTGTGAGTGACAGACAACTAGCACACGACATTAGTAAGATTACTCATACGCAATGGTGGCGGACTTTGTTCGTAGCTCGGTTTGTACTAGGGAGATCTTCAGACGACTTTCCGTGATAGGGCCGTAATCGAATGGAAGTTTACTCCGATGGAATAATTGCGAAATGATTGAAGGCCCCTTAAAGGTACAGAAGTTGGCATACCCTTAGGGTAAACAACTTAAATAGAAATACTTAACTCTATAGATAAGACAACCGCAAAAAGAATTAAAGTCTTATTAAAAATTATTTAATAAACAGCGCACTAAGACCACAATTATATTTTTGTTTAGATATGCGGTTGTAAAACAAGGAAAATACACAACTCTTATTTAAGGGTATTGTTTTGTTTTAGAAAAACCAGCTAATTTTATGGCTTCAATGAAATTGGAATAACTCACTTATCACTCACAATTACAACAACGTTCAGACGTCTGGTCTGGGGATTATCAAGATTTCCAATTAATCAATATTTAATTTGATGTTTATGTAGTGGATTTTGGACTTTGACATAATTTAAATCTGACACATAAAGATGAGCCACTAATTGTTCACTATTTTATTGATTAAAAATTTGAGACTTTGGACTAAATCCATCTGAATTAAAAGTTTTTGACTTTGACCAAAAGGGTTTCTCTTCGTGAACATTTAACAAAAAAATATGGATAAGGTTCCTTGGAATGTGTATGTCACCACAACTGATTCAGAAAGTCGGACCACAAAGTTCACACCACTTTATTATTTAATAGCGCAACCATTGATAGTGGATATAATCCAACTGTAGTAGAAGCTAATGCGAGCGAAGACATCGGGGAATCCGTAGGCGCAGGGCACGCCCCAATTGCCAATGCCCACCAGGCGACCTCGACTGTCGACTAGGGGTCCTCCGGCATCGCCATGACAGGCTCCGGCTCCCACCTTTCCCACGGCGCAAAGGTGACCCAGATCGAGATCTGCGGTGCCGCCATACGTGGCATTGCACTTCGCCGGTGTCACGTAGGTCAAGTCCAGCTGGTGCAGCTCCCAGGCGAAATCACCTCCAATTTCCGTGCTGCCCCATCCGTACATGGTCAGTGTCTCACCCTCCGTCAAATCCTCCAACGGAGCAATGGTGATATTCTGCGTCACTTCATCCCAGGCGAACAAAGTTTGGGTCTTGATCAGGGCGATGTCGTTGTGATACATCGGCTGGTCGAAGTTGCAGTGCAGCACGATCTCCTCCACGGCATACCACCAGCCCTCTGCTCCCCAGTCGTTATAGGTGGTGGTCACCACCCTCACATTGTTCTTTCGCAATCCTGCCAAGCAACTTGCCGCGGTGACCACCCACTGATCGTGGATCATGACGCCGCCACAAAAGTGGTTGCTAAAAACGGTTGCATTTTGGTAGGAAGGAATAGGAAACAGATTAAGACATATTTTAAAATAATATCAAGAAATATAAAAAATATATTATGAATACTGAAAATATCCGAAGACAAAATCTACACTGCTTTTAAAATGACAAACAAAAACATTTACATGTTTTTTTAAATTTGAAATCGTAGTTTATGTTCGACCGAGTGTTTAAATGTTTTATTCAATTTTAAATAAGCTAAATATTTTTAAATAAGCACTTGTTTTTTTAAAGGTCCCCAAAATTGAAAACAGAGTCTCTCTAAGACAAACGATTTATCGTACCTATATTTCTTATTACGAGTGAAAGAATTTTAATAAAACTCCTATTTTAAAGGTTTTTTTTTTATATAAGTATGTAAAACCACATTTAAATTGAAATTTTAAAAAAATATTTCCTAAGATAAAAAGATATTGGAAAAATGCTAAACAAACTAACACAGTTTTTTTAATTTTCTTTCCAAGAAATTAAAAAAAAAATGAATTTTTTTTGTCACAAAACTATCTGAGAATGCTGACTATAACTGTTTTTGGTTTAATAAAGTTAAATTCCATACCCAAGTGCATTTTGGACGGAAACTAGATAGGGCGCCGCTAGGACATCTGACACTTGTCCTCCAATAATTCGGGAGCTGAACTTATTCGCGGCAGTGGGAGTATCAGAGGTAACAGAGCGATGACGAAGACTTGCCTCCGAGTAGGATATCGCCAGCAGGACGAGAACGAGCAGAGAAACAGCTCTGATTTGGCAAGACATCTTGGACGAGCAGCTGAAGTTGGACTAATTGCAAAGGAGTGCAGCTGGAAAGCAACTAACCTCCGATATACGATATTCAGTATACGATATTAGATAGCTGGCGTGATATTAATGAGCTGCCATAAAGGTTGTGCAATCTAAATCATGGTCAGCCTGAGCAAAAACCAAGAACTCTCCCCTCATAAAAATCCCATAGCCTTTATTAAATCACCAACACAAACATGTCTACACGTAGGAAAAAATCGAATAACAACATTTATGAAGTCTGTCGCGATGGATTGTAATTTTCAACCTTTTTTCGTAGAATGATTTTTATCTTAAAATATAGCTGATTAAGGGTATGCGCTCGACTATATGGTTCCTTTATGTCTTTTTTTTTGATACCATCAAACTTTTCCTAATAGTTATCCTCCTGTTCAAGTAAGCCCAACTTAGTTATCAAAGATAACTAAACCTTTCTTCAGGGATAAATGGTAAAACCAGTTTTTTAAATATAAAAACTTAATATAAAAACTAATAAATTAATTTCAATGTTCAATATTCTTTAGCCCCAGTGGGCATATCAAGTTTAAAGGTGTTTAATTCACGAGCATAGCTTTCCTGGTTACTAAGTCTGGTTTATATCATATCACCCACAAAATAACTTTTTAAAATCAACCTATCATGTATAATAACATTTTAAAATAAATAAATCAAATACTTATACTTTTTGGCTTACATTATTAATTGTCCGCCTTTGGAAAAAGTGAACTGTACTCGTATCTTAATTTCAAGGTAGTATGACATACCCTCCATAATAATTCAACACTCCAGAAATGAATATTTAATTGAGCTTTTCCAAATTAAATTAATAATTCCATTGCCAATTGAGTAAATCATATTTAATCATATAAAGAAATACATTGTCAATCGAATAAATCAAATTTTCCTCAGTGCACAGATAGGAGGTGGCCAATGACTAGGCGATCTTACACCCGTTCATGGTGGTGCGAATCCAATCGTTGTAGAAGGCGGCCCGGGCATACATATCCTATTAAAAATATGGGGTTATAAATACATGAATGTGGTATTACTTTCTGATATGGGTGGTATACTCACCGGATAGCCACGTCCACAGGGCACGCCCCAATTGCCGATGCCCACCAGGCGCTGTTGCTCGTCGATGAGCGGACCGCCGGTGTCGCCGTGACAGGCGCCCTTGCCCGCTTCCATTTGGACGCAGACATGGCCCAGATCCACATCGTCGTCGTTCTCCAAAATATTGCGGCACTCGTCCAGCGGAAGATAGGTGCCGGAGGACTCCTGCAGATAGCGACCAAAGGTGCCCTGGGCCTCCGTACTGCCCCACCCCGCAAAGGTCAGCTTGTCGCCCACCTGCAACTCATCGATATCCGCCAAAGTTATATTCTTGGTCACATCATCGAACACGATGTCTTCCGATAGATACAGCAGGGCTATATCGTTGTGATACAGCGGCTTGTCAAAGTTGCAGTGCACATGGATCTGGGAGACAGTGTAGTACAGGGCATACAGGTCCCACCAATCCGAGGTTCCGGTGACCACCAGCAGGTTACGGGCTCTCAATCCCGCCACGCAACTGGCAGCAGTGACCACATATCGTTTATCAATGATAACGCCGCCGCAGACATGATACGAGTAGACATTCTGGATGCTCACAATCCAGGGCCAACTTCCCTCGGTGGCGGTGGATCCTCCCGCCACCCGACCTTGTGGACCAGCCACCTCTTCGCTGGAGCGATGCCTATTCACATTGGCCACGCCCGGAAGCGACTCCCCGCGCATCCTCATCGCTTCCGTGGGCTCCTGTAGAGCCAGAAGGCTGACCAGGGCGAGCAGGCCCGTAAAGTTCCACCCAGTTCTCATGGTATATGGTATATGCACGGTACAATCGAAACTAAAACCCCTCGAACGCACCACCTTAAAATTACACTTCATTTGGCGGATCTTATCGACCAGTTCCTTGGATAATAGGGAGTTTATGGGTCTGGACGGGGGCGATAAGTGGCATTCATTTTGCCTTGCGGCCATGGGCATTATGAGCTGACCAGCAAGTTGGATCGGTGCATTTATAGAGCGCCGAGATTTGCCGTGTCACACAAGTCCATCGGTTTATGGGTCCGCTTTCAATTGGACGTTCCGCCTTTACCGATTGGGTTTTATCCTTAAAGCCGTAAAGATACCTAACCATTTTGAGCCATAAAGATTGGCGACCAGTGGTCACTTAGATCGACGGGAAAATAACCATCGTGGGCAAAGCCCCGGGGTGCGATAAAATGGGTTTATATGGAATCCATATAAAAACGCCCAGTTTGGTCATACAATTTTCCATTGCTGGTCATTAATTCGCGCTATCCGGCACTGTCCCTCGTCTCCGGAGACTTTGTGATGGCTGTCCGTTTGTCTATGATTTGGGTGTCTCTCCTGCTTTTGGGCACTTCCATTGACGTCACGGGCGCCAAGCGTTTGGATCGTAAAGTTTCGGACAATCGAATTGTGGGTGGCCAGGAGGCGGAAGACGGGGTGGCCCCTTATCAGGTATCCATTCAGACCACCTGGAAAACACACATCTGCAGCGGAGTCATTCTCGATAAAGAGTGGATCCTAACGGCCGGCCATTGTGCACTGGACTTTAGCATCGAGGATCTGCGGATTATAGTGGGCACAAATGATCGCCTGGATCCGGGTCAGACCCTTTTTCCGGATGAGGCCCTGGTCCATTGTTTGTACGATGTTCCGTATGTCTACAACAATGACATAGCCTTGATTCATGTCAACGAGTCGATTATCTTCAATGATCGCACCCAAATCGTTGAGCTGAGCAGCGATCAACCGCCGGCGGGATCCGTGGTTACTTTGACGGGTTGGGGTGCTCCGGAAAGTAGTTTTCCCACGGTGCAGCATTTGCAGACCATCAATCTGACCATAATCGATCACGAGGAGTGCCGGGAGCGATGGGACTACCACAACGGCATCGACATTGGTCACATCTGCACATTCACGCGGGATGGCGAGGGAGCCTGCTCCGGGGACTCTGGAGGTCCCCTGATGTGGGAGGGCAAAGTGGTGGGCCTGGTCAACTGGGGACGAGCCTGCGGCGTTGGCATGCCAGATATGTAAGACCAATCTTTGGTAGCTTATCCCTGACTCTATATTATCCATTATCTTTCACCTCCAGGTATGCCAACACAGTTTACTACCAGGATTGGATCCGAAGGACTCGCACAGGATGCAAAAATCGTGTTACCTAAATGAGGTCAAAGGAATGGTGCCATGATGTATATTGTCATGAATATGTGAAATATATTTATTGATCAAAACAACGCTGATAACATATCCCCTTACTCATGTGGTCATTAGCTGCTTTTAGATGGCTATCAATGCTTTTATGGGTCTGTTTGCTAACACATTATGACATCATGCTTGCTAGGGCTGTCCAATTTTAAACGGGAAATACCTTAGACAATTGTTTTAACTTAGTTTAGTATTTGCGGCTTTATGACTAGATTTACTCCTTTCTAAAATCTAAAACTAACATTTATTTAATTTATCATATTAATTTATCGAAAAATCAGAAGCCAACGTTCAATACCTGAGTATTTAAAAATATATCAGACAAGAATTTTAAATCAATGTGTTTTTGGCTTATTGGAAATATTTATAAACATAATCTAATAAAAAAAAATTATTTCTAAATATAGTTTTGTAAATTACATTTTTATTAGATCGTTTTAACAAATACACCTATTTTGTTCGCACGTAGTAAATAATTATTATAATTTATTACGTATAATTAACTGTGGTGCGGTTTATTTACAAGCATTACGGGAATCTATGAAAGATTCACCTTGTCCAAAACTACTGTTTTAAATAAATTCTCTTTGTAAAGAAATAATTAACATGAATGGTACGCACCTTGAATTACAGTATTCAATAATGCTTTTTTTTTCAACTACACAAATTCGAATTCGTTTTGAAGGACGAAAGTGTATTTTCCGATTGTCGGGATCCGCCTTCAGGACTTATAAACCTGTATGGCATGCCGAAATGAAATATGAGTAAACAACGAATACACTGTATCGAAAATTTGATATCTTCCAAATTGTGCAAAAATAGGACACAATTAATGTAAATGTCAGCATAAAAAAAAATTCGTAGTGTTTTTTAGCCACTATTTTTAGGGTGCAGTCAACTTTCACTATTTCGACCGTGGATCTTGGATGCAGACCATACCTTATATATATTTCTAAAAAATATGTGCAATCATATATTAGATAGGACACAGAAACCATCATTTTTTAAGAACTTTGTAAAATGTTAATGATATTAAGGCAAAATGCTTAATAGCCCCTGGGGTAAATAATTGTGAAAAATGCACATACGTTCATAGGTACATTTTTTTAGGGGTTCATATGGTTGAAGAGATACATTTTTGGATTTTCGAAAACGTATTTTATGTAAAACAAGAAAGGAAAGCTAACTTCGGGCGGAGCCGAAGTTGATATACCCTTGCAGAATATTTTATAAATTATATTGTCCAAAATTATTCATATGATGTATTCTTAATACCATAAAATGTCCCAACCCTAACTTAAAAACACCAAAGTTATGTCATTTCCAATCGTTCAGTTATATGGCAGCTATAAGATATAGTCGGCCGATCCTAGAAATTGGTAATTGATTGGCCAAAAATAAAACCCATAAAAATCCCAACTTCCTAACTTACAAACACCAAAGCTAGGCATTTCCGATCAATCAGTTATATGGCAGCTATAGATATAGTGGCCCGATCCGGCTCGTTCCGACTTATATACTACCTGCAATAGAAAGACAACTTTTGGGAAAGTTTCAAGCAGATAGCTTTAAAACTGAGTGACTAGTTTGCGTAGAAACGGGCGGACAGACGGACAGACGGACGGACAGACGGACATGGCTAGATCGACTCTTCTGGTGATGCTGATCAAGAATATATATACTTTATAGGGTCGGAAATGTCTCCTTCACTGCGTTGCAAACTTTTGACTGAAATTATAATACCCTCTGCAAGGGTATAAAAATGTAAAAAAATAAGTATCGAAAGAGTGACAGCCTTAGCCTTTAATAATTTCAATGTCCAGAAAATGACCACCATTGCCATTGCCATATCCCATGCTGGCGCTGCTGACATTGATTGCCCTGTCACAAAATCATAATCAGTGTCCGTCTATATCTTTAACGATACCAGACTTTATGGCATAGATATAACTCGCTGAAACATCGATTCCGATTTACGATATAGCCTTAAGGCTTACGATATAACGCCGATTTGTCCGAGTATAAAAGGAAAATCACGACCCACATGCAGGTTTATTTCTCACGTTGAGACTTAGGCACCCACGAAAATGGTTCGAGGGCCTTCATTTGCGACCACCATCCTTGTGATCCTACTGGCCTGGAGTGGCTATAATCCCACCACAGCCATTCGCCTGGCGCAGCTCAGTGACCAGCAGCTGGAGTGGTTTTCAAAGGCGAGAGGAGCAGGATCTAACTTCCAGAACCGTGTGATCGATGGCGAGGATGCGGAGTTGGGCGAGGCCAAGTACCAAATATCGCTGCAGGGCATGTACGGCGGTCACATTTGCGGCGGAGCCATCATCGACGAACGCCATGTCGTGACGGCGGCCCACTGCGTCTATGGTTATAATCCCACGTACCTGCGAGTGATCACAGGAACTGTGCGATATGCCGTGCCGGGTGCCACTTATTTCGTGGAGGAGCACTGGATACACTGCAACTACAATAGTCCGTCGTACCACAACGATATTGCCTTGATCCGTCTGAACGATACGATTAAGTTCGATGAGTACACTCAGCCGGCTGAGCTGCCCACTGCCCCACTGGCCAATGGGACGCAACTGCTCCTCACGGGCTGGGGTTCCACGGAACTCTGGGGCGAAACCCCCGATGTCCTGCAGAAGGCGTATCTTACGCATGTGGACTACCCGACGTGCCAGGGGATATTGAACAACGATCCGTTTAACGGGCCTTGCCATATCTGCACTTTGACGATCGGAGGACAGGGAGCTTGTCACGGCGACTCCGGCGGTCCGCTGACCTACAATGGAGTGCTCTACGGTCTGGTCAATTGGGGCCACCCCTGCGCCATTGGTGTCCCGGACAGCCACGCCTATGTGTACTATTACCTGGAATGGATCAGGAGTATGATATCGGGGCCCTGCAGCATCTGTTACTGCTACGCCAGCAACTATCCCAGCCTGTGATCAAAAAAGGAATACTTTGCATCGAGTAAGTTGCTAGGTCACGACAACAATACCATGTGTTCTACCAATTAAAAATGCCTAGGTAAGGTGATAACTTAACTAATTTCTCAATAACAATGTACAAGTTATTGTCCAAATAAAGGTGAACTAAATAATTTTTAAAACCTGTTCCTAAAATGCATTAAAATAAATAGATACTTAGTTTTTTTTAGAAAACTCTTTAAAAACCTCTTAATAACTAACCTCAAGGATCAATAACTTCTTTTTTTGGTTTCAAGAAGCTTAAATTACTTAATACCTACTAAAACTTGTTATCTAATCTGTTGTAATAATTATACAACAAATTTTCACTATAAAACGATTAAGTTAAAATTTAACTTTCTTGTTTATTGACCTTGGTTTAAGCGCTGCCTTTTATATAATACTTTTAATATAAAAAGTAAAAAGAGAATTATTTTTGAATACCCATAGGATTTTCTTTATTTTCCTCTCGTTTAAGCATACAGTTTTTTAAACATTAAGTCAATTAGCTTTTCCAACTTGGTAAGTACTTTTAGTAGTAGCATCTGTCGTTGCCGCTGATTTTGCTGCGAATCCAGTCCAGGTAGTAGTACACATTGGCGTGTACATCGGGAAATCCAAGCCCGCAAGGTCGTCCCCAGTTGACCACGCCCACCAGGCGGCCATCGCTGACCAGCGGACCGCCGGAATCGCCGTGACAGGAGCCCTCCCCCTCCCGCGAAAAAGTGCAGATGTGGCCCACGCCCATGCTGCTGGTCTGGTTGAAGATCCTGTAGCACTCCTCAAAGGATACAAATCCCAGGGTCAACTTGTACAGGTCCTCCACGGAGCCACCGTAGGCCTCGTGGGCACCCCAACCCGTAAGGACGATCTCGTCACCGGGATGCACGGGTCTAATAGGCAAATCGATGGGTTGGGTCAGCTCGTTGAAGGTGATGTTCTGGGTGAGCTTCACCAGGGCGATGTCGTTATGCATATAGGGCTGGTCGTACATACAGTGCATGTGGATCTCTGCCGTGTAGTATATGCCACCCGGCTCTGCCCATTTATTGGTGCCCGTGATCACGTTGACCAGCGCAGGAATATAGTTTTCCACACAGTGACCGGCGGTTATGATCCACTGCTCGTTCAATATGGCACCGCCGCAGTTATGGGAACCCACAATGGGTTGCAGGGAAACCTGGTATGGGGCAAATCCGATCTCCGCTTCCACACCGCCCTTAATCCTACCCGATGGAACCGTGGAATAGGGTCCCACTACGCGCTTCGCCTGGCAAGGATTCGGGGGATGTACCAGCAGGAGGATCACAATACTTAGGCAGAGCAGCTGCATCTCGAAGGTTTGGTCACGTACTGAACACTAAAAGTCACTTTCATCGCTATCAAAACTTTATTAATTAGCCATTTCTTATCGAGGGCTATTTTATCGAGGCCTTATAAACTGGTATACTTTATGGGCATCGATAGCCTTACAGTATGGGACCTTTAGGCCAGGTAAGAGCCAAAGCCAGTACATTTCGTATTCCCACTCATGACCTTTCGTATCCAATCCCGATAGTAAAAGATACTGGCATGGACGTCCTGGAATGATTGCGATTTTTAGACTTTGGGTTTAAAATAATATTTTTTTGTCTTCTTTTTTCTCAACTCTTTTTTAACTCAATTGTTAACGCTGTGTTATATAACAACCATCTATATAACTTTCAGAAGATATTCAAATAATATTTTGACTGTGGAATTAGGTGGTATATTTGAAAAGTTCTTACGCAGCAATATTGATTATTTCAAATGAGTTTACTACTAAGAAAAAGGTTTTTAATGAGTAAACTACTGAAAATGCGGAATACTTAAACCAGAAATGTTTTTTAAATTCAAACTGAGTAATAGCTATCGAGTTGTACAATAGATCGTATAAATGGCCAGAGCTGTCTTATCACTCACCGGAAGTCCAGTGGCACAGGGCCATCCCCAGTTGACCAGTCCGACGAGGTAACCATTGCTGATAAGGGGTCCGCCGGAGTCTCCATGGCAGGCACCCTCTCCCAGTCTCGAAAAGGTGCAGATGTGGCCCACATCGCAGTCCTCATCGTCGCTCAACAAGGCCTTGCACTCCCGATGCGGAACGTACTGGAGATAGAGAACCTGGAGATCGATGGGACTGCTGCCCCAGAGGACCGTGGATCCCCAGCCAGTAAGGATCACCTCGTCACCCGGCTGCATGGGAACCAGGGCCAGTGGAATCGGTTGGGTGCGTTCATCCCACACAATCGGCTCAATCAAGTGCAGCAGCGCGATGTCATTGTGCATTGCAGGATTATCATGGTTGCAGTGGATGTGGATGGCTTCTAGGAAATACCTACCTCCCGGTCGGTTATACTGATTGGTACCTGTGACGACCACCAGCCATTGGATATTGGCATTGACTACGCAGTGAGCGGCTGTGAGTACCCATCGCTCGGAAATTATAGCTCCACCACAGGAATGAGCACCGGAGATGCCCTGCAGGGATATTTGATATGGGGCAAAGCCCTCATCAGCAGCCTGACCTCCAATGATCCGCTGATCCCTGAAAATTCCTCCTTCGCTGGAGTTTCCTTTGATTCGTATAGCTGTGGTGGCGGAGAATCCTCCGAGTCCTAATAAAATAAGCAAAACCACTGCCAACATCTTGGTTCTGGGCCTGGTCAGCTAATGAATTTTGCAACTTATTGCCAGGGACTGGCTTTTTTGACCATTTATCGGAATCCGATAAAACAAATTAATTTATGGCCCGATTGGGTGAACCTTTGGTTGGCCATTTTTGCTTTACGATTACTCAATCAAAATCGCAGAGGGTAAAACCAAACTAGTTCAGTCTGCGATTGCATTTCAGCCATGGCGTTTGCACGGTTACTACTTCACCTCTTCCTTATTAGTTTACTCCTTGGAGAACTCCTGGCAGTGGAGCACTTTATTGTGGGTGGCCAGAATGCCGCCGAGGGAGATGCTCCGTATCAGGTGTCGCTGCAAACGCTTTTGGGCAGTCACCTGTGTGGTGGCGCCATCATCTCGGATCGCTGGGTACTGACGGCGGGTCATTGTGTCAAGGGTTACCCAGCCAGTCGACTGCAAGTGGCCACTGGAACAGTTCGCTATGCGCAACCGGGAGCTCTTTATTACCCGGAAGCTATATACCTGCACTGCAATTACGACAGTCCCAAGTACCACAATGACATTGGCCTGCTGCAATTGAACGAGAGTATTAGCTTTGATGCTTTAACACAGGCTGTGTTGCTTCCGACATCATCTCTACCTCAAGGAACTTCGGAGCTGGTCTTCACCGGATGGGGATCCCAGTCGGCGGCGGGAAGTTTACCATCCCAATTGCAGCGCGTCCAGCAGCAACATCTCAGCAGCCAGGTCTGCAAATCCCTGCTCTCCGCCTACGAGGATCTGGAACTGGGTCCCTGCCACATCTGTGCCTATCGGCAGGCCAACATTGGAGCCTGCCACGGCGACTCTGGTGGGCCATTGGTCTACCAGGGCACTCTGATGGGCATACTCAACTTTTTCGTACCTTGTGCTCAGGGCGTGCCGGATCTATTTATGGACATCATGTACTACCGCGACTGGATGCGACAAACAATGAGTGGCAATGGCAAGTGTGCGCAGGTCAATCAGCAGACAATAATTGGCTAAATAAATAATTTTAAACACTTTAAAGATAAATACAAAAATAAGCTATTCTCTTGTAAGACCAAGTTTGTAGGCAGCATAGGTCGAAAATTATAAATTAGATGTTTCTTTCGTTAATCTAAACTGATTGTCACACATTTGTCTAAAAATGGGGCTGTCAACAATTTCTAGGAAAAGAACACCGTTTTATGCGTACTTTTTCTAAATGTTTAATCTTTAGTTAGGAAAACTACGAAAAATCCTTCCCCATTACTTTCTTCAGTTTTTTTCGTATGATTATTTGCTGTTTTTTAAGTGAATATTGACTGCGAATAATGTGAATGCTCCAGGAGGCGAAGGAAATTCTTGGCAGCGGACCAAGAGGCTGTGCAGACAGACAGTCGGAATGTCCGACTGATTCATCCTCCGCCGCTTTCTGATTTCTAATTTATGTCAGATACAGGGAAGTGTCGCACTGGCCACACGTGTCGCGATGCTCTAATTGGAAGCAGATAGGTAGACCCAGACAGCCGTGGTCTTAGTCATGTTTTCAGTTGTGAGAAAAATTTAGACAGATATCGCTCACGGCGCATGGAAATTCTGAAAATATTTCTTTCGGCGCTCGCCATTCAGCTACGAAAAATAACAAAAAAAATACGAAAAAACACTCAGTTGTGGGTTGTGTCTTGGCATTTTCGAAAAGTTTTTCAGTTGCTGCATTGACTTGGACGTGTGCGGTGCGGATCTCGAATTTTCTTTGGAATACGCGGCGTATACGCAATCCGTAGACTATATGTAGGCGCGTGTGTCGCTCATATTTCTATATATATACGAATATATAGCAAGTGAAATTTCGCAACTTGTGCATAATCGAGGGTTCAACTGTAGGAAAACAAGTGAAAATGCCAAAGTATGTGAAATAATGTGTCCAATAAAGGCAAATGCGCGTTGAAATATCTACGACATATCTACAAAGAGTGATGAATAATACGTCCAAAAGTATACGGCCAACTACACATTTTAAATAAATATATGCACAAATATAATAGATTCCGAATATTTCATGTTATGTGAATTTCTGGTTGAAATATTGCGTACAAGGCGTTGCCATTTTGTGATATATTCCGCCGATGAAAGGCCTCTTTGCTGGATCCCAGCAAAAGAGCCATTAATGTTTAGCTGTGAGAACGTAAAGTGCATTTATCTGTCGGGCGCCAGATGTTAATCCCGCCTCTGATCTTTATTTAGCCTCGATCGCACGCTCGGGCGCACCTGCGGAACTTTTGGGGCATACCTGAGGGCATTAAGCAACTAGCTTTTCCAAATGATTTATTTTAGAGGGTTGACAGATTTTTAAAGATTTTAATAGAAGAAGTACACTTTCTGGGCTCCCTTCAAGTGATTGCCGCACGGTCCTTGTATTTTGTCATCACATGGCGGCAACACAGTAGTGGGTGCATTTGTAGTAGTATCCGCCGGGTAAGCTGGGTAAGGATACGAAGGGTAAGTTGTTTCGTCTTGGGAATAGGCACAACATGCGAGGGCACACAGTAGTGCAATGATCGTTAGGAACCTCATCTCTGCAGATTTCAATACAGACTGATAAAATGTTAATACATTTTTGCCAATTTTATATGTTTAATTTTGTTTAATTTAAACTCTTAAACAAATTGCTACAATAAAACAGTTGGGCATATGTTTTATTTTCAAAGCTAATAGTCTCATTACTCTTTCAAATATTTATTTATATTTTCTATGCAAAATTAAAAGACAGATGTTAATTTAAAGTAACTAAATAAAAAAAACATCGAACCTCTGCAAACTTTATCCATCAATATTTTGTTGATTTATCTTTGGATCCCGCTGTGCTATTGTTAATTATATTCAATTTGTATTCGAAGAAAAATATCTAAGTAGCGAGGCAGAACTAGGAAAGCAAAACAAAGCGTTGGCCCGTGAAATTACTTGTTGGCAACGGGGCGTATGCGCAACATAAAAAAATTACCAGCCGCAGCAGCTGTTGATTGAATTCAAAACCAATGAATAATGATAACCAATACAATTAAAATTTATTTAAAAGTACGCGCGCTACGCGTCACAAGCAACGTCAAAATGAATATGAATATGAATAGGATAATTGGTTAGTAAGACGTTAGAGAGAATTGAAAAGTTATCAAAGGAGGTAGATAAATGGATAGATTCTTCTTGCTTTATCCAGTTCCTCAAAATTTTACGTATTTAACTTTAATCACAAATAACAAACTTATACATTCTCATCATTGTTTTTAAGTTTTGTTTTTATTGCTCACGATACTGCCAAGCATAAAAAATATGATAAAAACGGAAATACTTATAATCACTTGTGTTCATGGGTTTTTCTTAAATATTTATGATTCGAAAATCTGGTGTACTACAAAAATTCAGCAGTACAGCATGCAGTTAAAAATTTTAAGACTGGTACGATTGTGAAATATGGAAGAATAAATCAAAATGGTATATATATTTTATTTATATTTCATTTTCACAAAAAAATATTTAAGACCCTGCGTAATCTTTAAAATATAATAATAATAAGTATCTAATTTAATTATTGATTTTCAAGATTTTTAAACTATTTTGAGTTACATTATAAAAAATTATTATTATTAACAAAATGTGTGTAGGGAATTTTGACTGGAATTTAATTAGAAGAGATCGATCTGCTGCACCTGAATAACTCGTTGTTTTATCGGAATTTTAAAGCTGTGAAATCACGTAATCAAAATAAAATTTACGATATATTTAGTGTACTCTTGCTGAGTTTTATCTACAAACATACATAAACATCGAGCGTCTTTCGACCCAAGCTAAATAAATTCAAGGAATTTATGACAGCTGATTTGGCCGGAGTGCGTTACTCATTTCCCGAGACTAAACAAGCCGCATAAACATTTGCTTATGCTTTTGATTTAAGAGTTTTATGGGTTCTACGATCCCCCGATTTAGCATATTTTATTCACGACTCGTGAGTCAACTGGCGGGGGAACTCGGAATGCGGAATGTACTTGAGGCGACCGCCAGCGATGGCCACAAACGAATCATTTTCGCAGGAGGCACTTTCAATTGTGGCCAGCAACAGACAGAGCGAACAAAAAAAAAAAATTAACAAAAAAACACAAAAGACCACAACCAGTTCTATGAATAGAATAACAACAAAATCAGCTGCGCGTCGAAAGTCACATTTGCAGGGGGTTGAACGGGGGAACCGGCGGGTGCCGATCGGGGGGCCGTATGGCAGAGTCGCCAAAAACCTGCCAAACAGAGTCAAGAGTGCAGTCGACGTCTGCGTCAACGTCGACGTCAAATCAACGTCACATGCAATACCAAAAACACAACACAAAACATGAAGCAAAATAAATATTGAACAAATCATGTATTGAAGACGCGCCACACTCGAGGATATTCACTTAAACATTTGTTAATTAAAGAAACATTCAATAATTTTTATAGTAGATAAGAGTTTTCTGGGTAGTATTGAAAACCCACAAAATTTCCTTCAAAATTACCCAAGGAATTGTAGTAACATTCAAATTCGGTTTTTTGTAACAATTTGAAGAGAGATTTCTCTACGGTCTATTTCAAATATTTTGGGCTCATTAAAATTGTTTGTTTCTAAATAAATACGATTAAGAAAAAATGTGTGTCACCTCTTTTTTCTAAATCTAAAGGGAGTTAGCTTTAGTATGTGCAACCCTCCTCGACTGTATGATTTATCTGAGAAAATAATAATAAAGAAATTGAGAAATAAGCTGCGCGCATTTGGCTGCATAAAAACTTTGAGCAAGGAGGCGCACACAACTCAGTCGAGTTGAGAAATTGTCGCGGCCAGTACGAGTACGAGTACCGAAAGCAACGCGCGCAGCTTGTGCTAATATTTTCAAAACGAAAAAATTTTCAAATTTGTTTACGAAAAAAGAAGGGATTCCCAGTTTGTTTGTGTTGTGCTTTTGAAAAACGTGCTCGCCCAGGCATTGTGTAATTAGCAGGCAATCAAGTGAACAGTATTAAGCACCCACTGAAGTATTACGACTTGAGATCATTCAACAGCAATTCCCATCAACATAACCCATCGATATGGCGTCCCGAAAAGTGAGTGTATTTGGTACAGAGGTGGCCCTTATCTGACCGCAGATCGTTGCATTCACCCACATGATTTTCCATTGCTGGTTTATACTAACGAAATATTTACGAGGAAAATGGAGGACATGTGGTTTTCATTACCTTTTCATAAAAACAAAATATTTGTCAATTTATTTTTAGTCAAACAGACGGGCCAATTTTGCTCACTTGCGTCTTCGGTGTGTAAATGTGAGGTATAATTTTAGTTTCAAATAAATTCAAATTAATTAAAGTGGAAGTGAAAATTTATTTAGCATTTCATTGGCGGCGCTTGGGTACGCTGATTCATGCGATTCCCCAGCAATGTCCGCAAGTGCCGCGCCTCACGTCGTCTGTCCGATCGCTCTTCGTCCGTCCGTTTTTGGCCCCGGTTCGTGAAGCTTTTAAATTTCCAAAAAGTTCTTCTATGATATAAGTGGAACAGCCGGATCGGGCGAACACACTGTATATGGCCAGCAGTCCCAAGTCGTATTCCCTTTGCGTGTTTTAATGTGATGAAGTTGGGACTTAGGGTCTTATTTTTTAAAAACTTCAATCCAGCTGCAGTTTTAAAGGACCGACTATATCCAAACCGCGCATATAACGGAGTTTTGAGCTTGTAAATCATATTCAGCTGTTAGTTTTAATATTTTAATTTGGGTGTTAATAAGATGGGATATAAATTTCATCTTACTCCAAAATATTTATTTCTTGCCATATAACAAACGATTGGAAAGACATTACTTTGTTTTAAATAAGAATGCATCATATGAATAACTTCGGAGAATATAATTTATAGAATATCCTTGCAGAATATTCTGTAAATTATATTCTTCAAAATTATTTCATATGTTGTATTCATAAATTCAAATTAATTAAAGTGCCAG